CTCCATTCTTTTGCAAGAAAGCATTTACAAAAGCCCCAACAATAATATAAAAAAACACTGGGTTAGAAATCGCAAGACTACATAGTGGGTGCATGGACATGCTCTTTATATTGCCTCTCTTTCTCAGTGCTCTATTTTTTATCATACACTCAGGTAATGCATCAGCACTCCTTTTCACTTCTTTTACTTCTGTTTCTACCAACCACTACTCTATTTTAGTATTTGCAGTTAGAAATTGAGAAAATTAATTGTCACTTAAATCATTTCAACAAACAAAATGTACTAAACCTTTTGCATATGTGAGAACTTTGAAATACTTTTGCAAGGGCTATCTCGGCCATGTGAGAAAAGATGCATCTAAATACCAGAAATCCAATCAGCATCTGATTCTATATTCATATTTTGAAATCTATGGATATCAGGTTCTCTCCACTTAGACTATGGGAACAATCATGAATTACCGCGTCCAAGTTATAAGACGATCGAACTGTTGTCAACATATGGATTCACATGTCTCTATCTCTATCCACCAATATGCAAAAAATACCAATATTTGCTCCGTATACGGCACTTTCAAAGCTAACGTGAGCCTGGAAACTCATAAACTCAACTTTCATCTATCTGGAGTATTATATCAGTGAAATGGGTCTAATCTCATGACGCTTGATTAAAATCATTTGCAAAACCGGCATGGACTTAGTATATACCTATGAGTTTCAATTATGATGTTATGTATATGCGCAGTGCACTCTTTGTCACGGCATTAATTTTTGTCATTTCCAGTAACCATTTGCAATCCCATATGCAAGAAAAAGCCTTTTTCCAGGTTGCTAATCCGGGATTATTGTTCCACAAAAAAAAGGCATTCAAGGAAGCAAGAGGTTGGAAATAGATTAAGGAAATATAAAATGACAGAAACACCAGATAAGTGAACATTCACTCATTTGTCACGGCATTAATTTGTCATTTCCAGTTACCATTTGTAATCCCATATGCAAGAAAAAGCCTTTTTCCAGCTTGCTAATCCAGGATAAGTGTTCCCAAAAAAGGCATTCAAGGAAGCAAGAAGTTGGAAAGCAATTAAGGAAATATAAAATGACACAGAAACACCAGATAAGTGAACGTTCTTGATCATAAGCATTGATATGAGAGTATGATTGAAGAAACCAGGTTTAGTAAAATTTGCGTACACCTACTTGATTAAAATATAGGGAAGCCAGGTGATGAAAAAATATTTTAACAAAAGAATATTTAGAAATAAAGATATGACAGGATAATATCAATATATGAAGAAAAAAGCTACAGTCTTCATATTACACACAACAAGAACAAACACTGGAATCAATAGCAGACAAAATAGAAACTTTTTTAAAGTGAAATATCACTCATCCCAGATACAATCAGATCAATAATGCAGTAAGACAAGACCTTTTAGAATAATCAATAAAAGGTGATTAAACTGTGCTACGAGGAAAATATTTGCAAGCAAATGGATCTGCATTTGAATACATATATACAGAAAATCATTTGTTCATAAAATAGAGTTGCTGAGAGTTTACTTGATCTCATATCATGTTATCATTCTAGACTCAGGTTACTATCTGCCTGTGAGAAAGGATTTTTCAAAAATGATGCTTCATGGTGGTCATTTTTGGTGACTAAATGGTTCTGCATATCAAATATATTACATAAAGTAAAACTCTGTTTATGCAATAGAGTTTCTTAGAATTTAATAAACCACCAGCATGCCATTATCCTCGACTTTCCCATTGAACCTTCACAATCCAACGCTTGATCAATGGTTACACTAGCTAAAACCTGATGCCAGTGCCACCTACCTAATCCAACACTTGATAAATGTTTCTGCATATCGAATATATTACATGAAGCAAAAAATTGCTTATACAATAGAGCTCCTTAGAATGTAATAAACCACTAGCATGTCATCATCCTAGACTTTCCCATTGAATCTGACATCTATCCAATCCAACATTTGATCAATAGTTACACTAGTTAAAACCTAACACCAGTACCATATTCCTCGCTGAAAAACTACAAACAAGAGGTATATTTTAATATTTTAAAGCCTATATATCAATTTGAATGCCATAACTCATTGCCATGCAATGTAAGCTCCTTGAACGAAGGAGAACTGCAAGACTCTACTAGACATTTAAAGACTAGATAGATATGACATACGGTTCTAATTAGAGTTTACAACAACGACAGTGGCAACAGCAATAATAGTTAATGATAATTAATAATAAAAATAATAATAGAAAGAAACAACTTCAGAATTGAAGAGTGGAAGCAAATCTGCTCAAAAAGAAAATGGACATCTTCAAGCTTTAACACAAGTTAACACGAGACTTATGTGTGGAAAAAGAATAAACAGCGAAAACAAACAAATTCAGAATAACCATAAGATTACCTCTTCTACCAGTGACTTCACTTTAGAAGCATTGTCTTTCTTCAGTTGTTTCTTCCTCTTCGCCCTGAGCTCTTCTGAAAGTCAGAACATTAAATTTTAACAAGTATGCCTTTTAGTAGTAATATCAAATATATTGTATATTAGAGAAAATAAAACTAATTCCAATCACCGCTGTAACACAAGAAGTATAAAACACATTGACTTCCTAGAGAAATATATAAGCATTACATGAAAGATATAGCCATATAGGCAAGATCTAACTACTATACGAGCATAATTTGTAGCAAATTACTGCCTTTTTAAGATCATTATAACCTACGATATATGAACAAGAACAAAATTCTTTCAGAAAGGAAATTGTTTAAAAAATTGAAAATAACATATAAAGTTCAAGTTAATGAACTACTTAAGCAAGGTCAAAGTCATGAAGTACAGATGAACAAATATGAAACTAAACAGAACGAAGACAAAACTGATGATGGAATTTTAACTGACTGACTAAATGATAATAAGTTAGAAGATGAGAAAGCAGAAGTATTCATATTATAACCCTACCTTTTGCAGCATTGATTTGACTAACAACGTATTCCCTTTCTTGTGGATCAAGTAACAATTGTTGCGCTTTTGCCAATGCTGCCATGATCAACATTATATGCATTAGCTACATGTTAATCCTTTTGAAATTGAAGAGAAGAAAAAGAACAACCAATATCTTGCACAACCACTAAACTTCCATGCCATTAATTCATACTTAAACCTCAGGAACTCAACCATATTTTTTGACTATAGACACTAAAGAACGCGACACGTAGAAAATAGCTATATAATTTCCTAAAAGTCAACAGAAGCAGAGTTCGCCTAAGGCAACCTTAAAAGATGCCAGTCATAATAAATAATAAATTGATGTTGGTTGTTTTGTTGGCCCAATAAGTTGGCCCATTCCACTAAATGCCCAGCTCCCCCACTTGTGCCCTAGCCCCTCTATTTTCCCTCACCTACCCGATGGTTCTCACCTCCTCCTAAGTCTTCGCGATCTCTGGAAGTCTTCGCGATCTCTGGATTTGATGGCCGCCGCTGTGATTTCATCCCTAGGTCGGCTCCCTCCTTCGTTTTCTTCCCTAGCTCCTCTCCCTTGTCGGCTGCCCCCATCCCTATATATGAGTAATGGGTTGGTAGTAGCTTGGTAGAGGGATGAAGAGGAAGTAGAGGTGGTGAGGTGAAGATCTGAGCTTGAACTTCCCTCTGCTGTGTGCGATCTCCCCCTTTCTGCGACTTTGTGCTCCTGTGAGCTTTGTGCTCTCAACCCCTTTGTGCGATCCCCTTTGTGAGTGACTGGGGAAGGAGATTGGCGAGCTCCCAGTTGGTCTTTGGTGGTGCACTAGAGAGGAAAATAGTGACTGACTCAAGCAGGTTTCTGAGCCAAAAACGACATCTCAGATTCTCAACAGTGGTATCAGAGCAAGGTTAGTGTCGCTGTGCTTCAAAACCGTCGCCGATCGCCGCTGGACACCGCCGGACCGCCACTGGACACCGTCGGACAGACGCCGGACCGCCGCCGGACCACCGCGTGGGCGTGGGTAAGGTCGAAACCCTCTCCTAGGGTTTCGCTCAGGTATATCAGCTGAAAACCCAACTCAACAGCTCATGCTAGTTGCTAAAAAAATTTTCCTGTTTGTGTTTCTGCTCGTGCTAGCTGCTGGAAAATTTATTTTTTGTTTCTCTTGTTTTTCCCTTGCTCGTGCTAGTTGCTGTGATACCATTATCTGATTTTTTCTGTGTGAAAAATGTCGGCTGCTAATCAATATGGTATGATTCAATATGGTATGGCTCCGTTCAACGGAAAATCTGATTTTAGCATTTGGAAACAAAAAATAAAATGCATTTTAATTCAACAGAAGTCGTTTAGGGCTGTTGATCAGACTTATTTAACTTCTGACACTGAAAATAAACGGGCGGAAATGAACGAAAATGCTTGTTCCACAATTTATTTGAACTTATCTGACTCTGTGATTAGAAAAGTTGGAATTTTAGAATCTGCTAAAACCCTTTGGGACAAACTTGAAGAACTCTATACTGAAACCTCTTTGCCCAGTAAAATGTTTTTGCTTGAAATTTTTTTCAAATTTAGATTGGATATGTCTAAGGACATTGAGGAGAACCTAGATGTTTTCACAAAACTTATTTCAGATATTAAGTTAACTGGTGATAAACATATAGATGATTATACTCCTATTGCCCTTCTAAATGCTATTCCTGACTCATATAGTGATGTGAAATCTGCTATTAAATATGGTAGAGATGAGGTTACCCTTGATGTTGTGGTCAATGGTCTTAAGAGTAAGGAATTAGATTTAAAACATTCTGGGGGAAATAAAAATTCTGGTGAGGTTATGCATGTGAGGGGTAGGCCTCAGAATAGGTCTAATTACCAAAAGAATGCTAGTAATGGGGAATCAAGTAAGAAAAAATTTGAAAATGGAAGAGGTAGATCTAAGTCCAGGTTTAAAGCTAAAAAATGCTATAATTGTCATGAAACTGGTCACTTTATTAAAGATTGTCCTAAGCCTAAGAAAAATCAGCAAAATGAACATGCTAATATGGCTGTCTGTGAGGGCAAAATGGGTGAGATTTTCATGATTAATAATCTGTGTGATTATGCATATTTGAACTCTGTGTTATCTGATCCTTTGTGTAAATCAGATTGGTTAGTAGACTCTGGTTGTACTTTTCATATGACTCCTTTTAAAACCTTGTTTTCAAACTACAAGAAAATAGAGAATGGCTTTGTGTCAATGGCAAATGAAAAGAAATGCAATGTTTTAGGAACTGGTGATGTATGCCTTAGGTTTTCCTCTGGTTCTGTGTTTACTTTGAAGGATGTTAGGCATGTTCCTGATTTACGTTATAACTTGATTTCTTGTGCATCTCTAGAAAATGATGGTTTGGAGGGAAAATGGGGTAAAGGGGTTATGAAAATTCAAAAAGGGTCTCTTGTTGTTTTTACTGCTGAAAAACAAAACAATTTGTATATTTGTCATGCTGAACCTGTTTTGCTTTGTGTGTTGCCTTTGTGGCCTATTAACCTGCTTTGTGTTTTTTGCTTTGTGCTTGGGTAATTTTCTCCCTTTGCTTTGTGGCCTATTAACTTGCTTTGTGCTTGGATAATTTTTTCCTTTTGCTTTGTGTGTTGCCTTTGTGGCCTATTAACCTGCTTTGTGTTTTTTGCTTTGTGCTTGGGTAATTTTCTCCCTTTGCTTTGTGGCCTATTAACTTGCTTTGTGCTTGTTAGTAGCTTTGTGATTTTTCTCTTTGAACTCGATGACCGTTTGGTAGAGTTCGGTCCTTTGTGGGCTTGGTATGCTTGGTGATCTTACCCCGATCTTAGTGATCAGAGTTTACTTTGTGTATTCTCTACCATTGCTTGTATCTTCTTTGTGATTATACAAGTAATAATTTGGCGATGATGAGTCCTGCAGTTCCGTGTTTTTCCTATGTGCACTACCTTGGGCCAAAGGTGGAGATTGTTGGTTGTTTTGTTGGCCCAATAAGTTGGCCCATTCCACTAAATGCCCAGCTCCCCCACTTGTGCCCTAGCCCCTCTATTTTCTTCACCTACCCGATGGTTCTCACCTCCTCCTAAGTCTTCGCGATCTCTGGAAGTCTTCGCGATCTCTGGATTTGATGGCCGCCGCTGTGATTTCATCCCTAGGTCGGCTCCCTCCTTCGTTTTCTTCCCTAGCTCCTCTCCCTTGTCGGCTGCCCCCATCCCTATATATGGGTAATGGGTTGGTAGTAGCTTGGTAGAGGGATGAAGAGGAAGTAGAGGTGGTGAGGTGAAGATCTGAGCTTGAACTTCCCTCTGCTGTGTGCGATCTCCCCCTTTCTGCGACTTTGTGCTCCTGTGAGCTTTGTGCTCTCAACCCCTTTGTGCGATCCCCTTTGTGAGTGACTGGGGAAGGAGATTGGCGAGCTCCCAGTTGGTCTTTGGTGGTGCACTAGAGAGGAAAATAGTGACTGACTCAAGCAGGTTTCTGAGCCAAAAACGACATCTCAGATTCTCAACAATTGACATGGAAGCCTTAAACTTGTGCTTTCCCCTTTACGAGACAACTATAGCAACAGCGTCTTATGAGAATCTAGAAGGCAGAAGGCTAGCAGGGGTTAGATATATCTTAGATATATCATGTTTCCTCATGCTCATAATACTGAGGCCCCCAAAATTTTCTTGCATTGATAAAATAAAAAGTGAAAAAAAAAATCTACTAAACAACATGACTGGTTTCAGTGTAACATGAAAGGTGGTGAGTTAGTCAATATATTTTCATAATCTCCTTTCCGACCTCACAACATATTTAGATTTTAGAGCATACTTAACTGTTTATAAGTTCTTTTGGCTCCAAAAGTGTATACCATCAAATTTTTACTAAGAACCCAGTTTTCTAATTTCAAGTTTATCAAACATTCCACCGCAACCCAGATAGTGAGAATCAAGTGCGCAGTTTTTCCACTGCCACTTCTCTAAACAACAAGAAGATACAACCGAAAGAAGTTTAAATAGTTCAAATCCAGGTCGGCACTTAAATAAGAAGTAACCAAACACAAGTTACCTCCGAAGGCCTCCTTCGCTTGAGGATGCTTGCATTTATCAGGGTGAACCATCAGAGAGAGCTGCAAAAGAGGTTACAAGGCTAATGTTTACGAACTGATGGTAGAATTTTCACTAAAAAGTGAAGAAAGATAAATCGTTAGCAATAAGCTCACCTTTCGATATTGTTTCTTCACATCATCAGGCGATGAATCAAAGGACAGGTTAAGATGCTCAAAAGGATTCAATTTGAAGCAAGAAAGTATCCTGCGGCAGCCAGAAGATAATAGTTATGCACTAGTTCACTAAATTTACGAGTAATTTACAATACTGTAAGGTGAAAGTTAATCAAATTAATGTGCAGTTGGGGGAAATTGATAGATATATTAAAAAAATTTAAGAATCTGCGTCTCGGGGAAGAGATAACAGTGTAATTCTAAAATTGAATAAAAATTTTCAAAAATCGGGCTCGGGAAAGGCAACTTTAGGTACCCAGGATTGGGCCAAAAAATGTCACTAGATAAGTTGTTTCGGGTGGACCACGGCCCATTTCATCAAAAAAAAAAGGATTTTTTTAGATATTAGTCCCCTATATCTGTAGATTGCGTATTAGAGGCTGTTTGGTTCATTTCCATAAAATAATGGAAATGGATTCCCTCACAAATAACCATATCCAAAAAAAAAAATAGATAAAAAAGGAATCCATAACCTATGTTTGATATGGAATGATAAAGTGAAGAATATAAAAGCATATCCAAAACACATGTTTAGTTCATTTCCAAAGAATAAGAAAAACATCATCATAGAAAGCTTTTCCTAAGCTTTCTTGTGTTTGGTTCAAAACCGTATAATAGGAAAGAAGCCAAAAATCAGTGGATACACATACCTGTGGTAGAGTTACCCTCGAAATTTTTAACCTTTCAGCAATCAAAGCTGGCAACGGCTATAAAAACGGCTAGTAGGGGCTGCAACAACTCAACAAACAAAGCAAATGCAAGCCTATATAATGTATCACCATCACCCCAACACAAGTAATACTCATCTCAGCCAGCAAAGCTATTTTTTGGCATCTCTTTTTTTTATAGGAATCATAGCAACACTGCCATTGCAGGTTGATGGAGCGACAATGTGACAGCAAACAAGAGGGTGCCCCATATGAAGCTAAGTGCAAATGCAAACTTCCAACACCCTTGAAGCTATGTGCAAATAAAAAAAAATAAAGGGAGACATTATTGGGATTACGCTAAGTTCCCAAATAAAGAATGCAACTCCTTTCAGTGGGCCGACAAAGTGGGTGATTGCAGAAATAGAAATCAAGTATCACAAAGTGAAGACATTCTTGAAGATAAAAGGTTAATAAAAATCAAAAAATTGAAGAGAGAATTAAAATCAGCAGAGCATCAAGTAATCATTTGGAAAATTAATATATTGTTTTTAGTTATAACTTGTGTATGTTGGATAGCAGGTTCCTAATATGTTTCCTAATTTGTTTTGGTAACAGGTTATTGGGATTCCTAATCTGTTTTGGTAACATGATTCCAAATCTGTTTTGATAATAGGTTATTAGGATTTATAATCTGTTTTTTTTAGAATTCCTAGTATGTTTTTGGTTTTAGGATTTTTATATATATGGAACGATTGGAAGAGAGAATACAGCAGCAAATTGGGGATATTTGGAGCACAGAAAAGGTGTATTTTCTGAGCTATTGGTTAGGGTTTTATTTGGAGAGAATTAGAGATTTGTTGGTGATATTAATTAGTGAGTTCGAGTGATTTGTAATCTCAGTTTATACTCTTCTTCTCTATTAGTGAAAACCATATCCCCTTCTTACCTCGTGGACGTAGGCAACTTGCCCAACCACGTTAAAATTGGTTATTTGTGTTCGTGCCGTTATTTTGATTGTGTTTGGCCTTCTTTCGGTGTTTGTTTGATTTGGTCTCTCAAAGCACAGCTTCCGTCGCGCACAACAAATGGTATCAGAGCTCGGGCTACGCTTGAGCTATTTGAAGGAGTAGATCATTTTGGAGGCTCGTCTAGGGCTTCGTTTGGTGATAAAGGTGGATCTTTTTGGTAAAGACTCTATCTTTTTTAATTTTGGATCTATTCTTTGTTTGTTCCGCTTTAGTTTGTTAGTGCTTTGAGAAAGATGGTCGAGAAAGAAGGAGTTGTGGAGGGTATTTTCGACGTGAAGACCGTCCAAAGTTTGAATATCCACTCTATAAAAATAGATGTGGAGTAGTTTAAAAGCATAAATAATTTTGGTTTTTGGAGATGTGAAGTCTTGGATGCGCTCAACGCGCAAAATTTGGAAGACACATTGGAGTTGGACGGAAAACCAGACGATATTGAGGAGAAGATTTGGAAGAAGATGAATAGAACGGCGTGTAGTGTAATTAGATCTTGTTTGACTCAAGATTTGAAATATGATGTGATCAATGAGACTTCGGCTAAGAAGATTTAGGAGACCCTTGAGAGCAACTATTTGACCAAGAGTGTAGAGAACCACTTGCATTTGAAGAGAAGGCTTTATCGCTTCCAATTGAAGAAGGGAACCTCCACTGGATATCACATGAACTACTACACGAATCTTCTTACGGATTTAGCAAATGTAGATGTGATGATTGAAGATGAGGACAATATATTGTTATTGCTGAGTTCCTTACCCGACAAAAAATATGAGACCTTTATTCTTACTCTTATTAATTGGAAGGCATCTCTTTCCTATAGTGAGGTCACTGCTGCACTTGTGAATTATCAGCTTCGAAAGAAGGATAAGGAGATTTTAGTTGAGCCGGTAGCGGGGGCATTGGTGGCAAGAGCAAAGAGTCCAAATCAAAATATGAGGTCACAGTCTAGAGGGGTACATCCTGGAGTTTATAGGAATCGGTGTGCTTTTTATAAAGAGGATGGAAATTGGAAAGCCGAATGCCCAAAGTTGGTTGATCGAGCCGGGAAGAATAAGTGAAAAGCTATTCAAGCTTCAGAGGTGAATGTTGTCAAGGCTAGTGATGACAATTCAGATTCGGATTCTTTGGGCTATTCATTAGCACTACCGTTAGTTTGTGTTACTGACTCTACAGAATGGATGTTGGATTTAGGTGCTTCTTACCACATTTGCCCTAGGAGGGATTGGTTCTCCAGCTTTCAGGAGTTAGAAAGAGGAGATGTCGTGTTCATGGGTAATGATCATGAATGTCCTATTGGTGGTATTGGTATCATTCGGATTAGGATGTGTGATGGGGTGATTCGAGAATTGAATGAAGTGAGATTCATTCCTCAATTGAAGAAGAACATCATTTCGCTTGTAGTTTTGGAGGCAACAGGCTATATGATAACCTTAGAGGATGCATATTTGAAGGTCACATTTGGGTCTATTATTGTGATGAAGGGCATCAGGAGGAAGAATTTGTATTATTTGATTGGAAGCACGGTGATTGGTAGAGAGCTGACGACTTCTTTGGATTTGGCTAGACTGTAGCATTTGTTGAGGCTGGGGTATTTGATTGGTTGTGTCGTGTATGATTTGTTGAGGAGTACTTTGACCTGCAGATTGAAGTCCTGTGAGCACATTGATATGAGCAAGAAGACCAATGTGGAGTTTAACACTTCTATCCATCGATCGATGGGTCTTTTAGGTGGTGTTTATTCAGGCATTTGGGGGCCTTCCAAGGAGGTATCATTGGGAGGTAATCGGTATTTAGTTTTTGTAGTTGGTGATTGTTCTAGGCATTGGTGGGTTGCAACCAAGTCCCGTTAGTATGAAGTCCTAGAAGTCAATAACAGATGGAGGAAGTGTATTGGCAGAAAAGTAATCCGTCGTTCTAGTTCTGATAGGGGTCCTTACTTGCGTTTATGCTAAGTTCATGGCAATTGGAAACACTTCATTGGAGAGGAAACATTAGGGCAACGATATGGGATGATATTTTTGATTGGTCGTTCCTTTCTGGAGGAGGATCGGCGTTTGATGTCAAGCATTGGTTTTGGTGTTTGAGCTTCGACATATTTGGGTCATTTTAGGCATAGGTTACCAACTACTGTATTTAGAGTTATTGGATCTGGTGGAGCTGCTTTAGATTTTGGGTTGCGTCGGATGTTTGGTTGCTTGGTATTTGGTCACATCAAGGATATGAGATTTGATCCAATTGCACATTTAGGATTTAGAGGCTCGTTTGGTTATCAATTGGGAGACTCTGATTTTGTTCTGAGCAGGTATGTCACGTTTGACTCTCGGCAGGTGGAGAGTATTGATTAGATCGTTGGGATATCATAGCGGGTGGAGGGTGATGCTACTCCACGTTGGGTGAAGATTACTCCACATACTACAGATCATATTATATCATTTGGAATTCCAGTTGAGGTGACACAGATTGAAGATCATTTGGATTTGGATGTAGATGATGAGTTGATTAATTCGAGTGTAGCTGGTGGACATAGTTTGGATTTAGGTATAGATGTTGATTCACCTCAGGTGGAGGTGTTTGGTTTGCTTCACTTTAGGGCCATTGGGAGAGCTATCCGGCACAGATTTGTTGGTGAAGGGTTGAGAACTCTTCTAGTTGATTGAGGGTCTTTGGAGGCCATTTGAGTGAACTACGTAAAGACTTGATTCCTTGGGCAAGAGGATACATAGGCAGTCAGTTATGATGCAGCTGGTTAGGTAAGTTGATACCAACATTTAGAGTTTGTTCGCATTCTTATTTGGGTTCTCGACTTGTTGTAGATTGAGTCCGTTATCGTGGATTTGTTCCACTTTGTACTGGACGCAACAAGTGAGACGTTTGGTTGGTATTGGTGTCGGTTCAGTTTTGGAAAAACTTTACCGAGGTAGAGAATTGTTGAATAGAAGGTTCCTAATATGTTTCCTAATTTATTTTGGTAACATGTTATTGTGATTACTAATCTGTTTTAGTAACATGATTCTAAATCTGTTTTGGTAACAGGTTATTAGGATTCCTAATCTGTTTTGTTTTTGGACCTAATATGTTTTTGGTTTTAGGATTTCTATATATATGGAACGATTGGAAGAGAGAATAGAGCAGCGAATTGGGGATATTTGGAGCACAGAAAAGAGGTATTTTCTGAGCTATTGGTTAGGATTTTATTTGAAGGGAATTAGAGATTTGTTGGTGAGATTAATTAGTTAGTTCGAGTGATTTGTAATCTCAGTTTGTATTTTTCTTCTCTATTAGTAAAAATCATATCCCCTTCTTGCCCCGTGGACGTAGGCAACTTGCCGAACCACGTTAAAATTGGTTGTTTGTGTTCGTGCTGTTATTTTGATTGTGTTCGGCCTTCTCTCGGTATTTGTTTGATTTGGTCTCTTGAAGCACATCGGTTTGATTTTGGCTTCCGCCGGGCACAATAGTGTGATCGTATTTATCTTTAAAAATATGCCATGTAGTTGCAAAGTGTAATGAGATATGAAAGGAAATTTTTATGAAAGTCAAACAATGGAGTATAAGGCTCAGACTAAAGTCATATTATCAGTATTCGATGCATCGCCTAAATATTGTATCATATTATAGATTACCTACACATAATGGTTGCCTCATCTAAAAAATGCATGAGCAGTTTAGATTACAATCTCATCATGGTAAGCTTTATCTAAACAATAAAATTACAAAATAGGTTGCATTAACAAAAAAGACCAATCATCATTGCCTATTGCAAAAAAAACCCAAACTAACTTATGAAAATAGTTATGACATGTGCACAGATGAGGAACCATAGTTTGAGAGAATGCCCATACCAATACAAACTAGTAGCATTTCACACGAAAAGTGCAGTCCAATCAACTGAAGTAGATAAGGAGCTCAAACACGGTTATAGCTTATGCAAATATAACAAGCAAGTAGAGATCTCAAACCCAGTTATAAGCTTAAGTAGATAAGGAGCTCAAACACGGTTATAGCTTATGCAAATATAACAAGCAAGTAGAGATCTCAAACCGAGCTCAAACACGGTTATAGCTTATGCAAATATAACAAGCAAGTAGAGATCTCAAACCCAGTTATAAGCTAAAGTAGATAATATATCATAAACAAGGTATAAGTTGAAACAGAAAATATAAGCAAAGCTGAAAACTGAAGCAAATGCAACAACTTAGGGTTCAAAGCTAAAAAACTGAAGTAAAGCTGCAAAATGAAGGAAATGCAACAACTCAGCTAGAAACTCAGCAAACAAAGATGAAAATGGCTAGTAAGGGCTACAAACAAACTCAGCAATAAATTCAGCAAACATTGCTGAAAATATCAGCTAAAAACAGTTAGTAGGGGCTGCAATGGAGTACAAGGCTCAGACTAAAGTCATATTATCAGTATACGATGTCTCGCCTAAATATTGTATCATATTATAGGTTGCCTACACATAATGGTTGCCTCATCTAAAAAACGCATGAGCAGTTTAGATTGCAATCTCATTATGATAAGTCTTATCTAAACAATAAAATTACAAAATAGGCTGCATTAACAAAAAAGACCAATCATCATTGCCTATTGCAAAAAAACCCCAAACTAACTTATGAAAATAATTATAACATATACACAGATGAGGAACCAAAGTTTCTGAGAATGCCCATACCAATACAAACTAGTAGCATTTCACACCAAAAGTGTAGTCCAATCAACTGAAGTAGATAAGGAGCTCAAACACAGTCATAGCTTATGCAAATATAACAAGCAAGTAGAGAGCTCAAACCCAGTTATATGTTGAAGTAGATAACATATCATAAACAAGGTATAAGTTGAAATAGAAAATATAAGCAAAGCTAAAAACTGAAGCAAATGCAACAACTCAAGGTTCAAAGCTAAAAAACTAAAGTAAAGCTGCAAAATGAACGAAATGCAACAACTCAGCTAGAAACTCAGCAAACAAAGATGAAAATGGCTAGTAAGGGCTGCAAACAAATTCAGCAAATATTGCTGAAAATATCAGCTAAAAACAGTTAGTAGGGGCTGCAATGGAGTACAAGGCTCATACTAAAGTCATATTATCAGTATACGATTCTTCGCCTAAATATTGTATCATATTATAGATTACCTACACATAATGGTTGCCTCATCTAAAAAACACATAAGCAGTTTAGATTGCAATCTCATCATGGTAAGCCTTATCTAAACAATAAAATTACAAAATAGGCTGCATTAACAAAAAAGACCAATCATTATTGCCTATTGCAAAAAAACCCCAAGCTAACTTACGAAAATAGTTATAACCTATACACAGATGAGGAACCAAAGTTTGAGAGAATGCTCATACCAATACAAACTAGTAGCATTTCTCATATGAGGAACCAAGTTTAGTGGATAGCCATCCATTTCCACACTAATAACCTGCAAACGATAAAGAAAATAAAGCAAATAGATAATATAACATAAAAAGGACATAAGAAATTGCTCAGGTCTGATAATGAGATTGAAGCAAACAATGATTTATGCTCATGTTACGCCAAATTCACATAACTCTTTGAAGTCAAATGCAAAGACAAGTATTATAGTAAATTGAACATTAAGTCAAAGGGTTGTTTCATGATAAGCAAATATAACATGCAAATACAAGAAAAGAAAATGTTAGGTAGCAGTTGCATTATGAACATAAAGTCAAGGGGTTATCTCACGATATTACATGATCATAACATGTTCATAACTTGATTATAAATACAGTCATAAGAGTGCAAAAGTTGGTAGGAAACAAATCCATTACCCAAGATAGTCTTGTCTACGTCATATCATCTCCGTCAATCCATTTTCGCGGATAATCTTCTCTATGAAAAGTTTATGTGCATTTTTTGTCTTGATAATGAACCTCCTAGCTTTTGATTCATTGTCATACAGAAAATCTAGAACCTTGTCCAATATTGTCTCAAAGAAATCAGCCTCATGTGCTAATAAAGCCTTGGTCATGCGATCAGTCCAATATAAAATATGTTGGTTTTGAATTAAGTGGGACATGGACTCGATGAGTTCACGTATTAGTGAATCATCATCTTTACCATTGACACTCTTCTTTTTTGAATGAGGTTTGACGTTGGATGTAGAAGTTACCTCACTAGTCAACTTCACATTTTGAGACCGAGGGTTAATCTTTTCAACACTTGTTGTCTCAATCTCAAAATGTGAGTTGGGGGTCTCATCATTATCAGTTTCACAAAGATCGATTGGATCCTCAGAAAATCCAAGAGGCCGACAAGAACCAAGTTTCTTACCCACATCTTTGGCATAATTTCCCCTTGCTTGGTCATCACCAACAATCGTACACAAATCATCATAGTGAGTGAGAGGCGTGTTCAAGTACTCCTTCAACTTTGAGCTATTTCTTATTATCATGTGTAGTAAATAAATGTAAGAAGAAAAATTGCTCGCTAAATAAAATTATATGCAAATAATGCAAGATAAATACTCATTATATAAATCGATACCTTTGTCCACATATCAAATGAATCTGGATCCATGGTCATAATTTTTGGCGTTGGATCATATCCGGCACCACTCATGTTCATTACAGTTCGCATATCAAAAAACTTGCTCTTCAAGCTCTTCATCTGGTTTATCACATTCTCCTTTGTAAATTCAGTTCTACATTGCTTGTTAACCTCTTCAACAGCCATTTTGTATGCATGCATTTTAAAGTTCTTATCAACCTTGAGACTATCTCTTGCCAATTGAGCAAGAACAGGGATTAGAATATCATCATGCCTTCCATTCCAATACATGTTAGGCACACCCCTAGTGTTTGGAGCATTGTCTATAATTGTTGATGCCATTCTTCTTTTAGCAATTACTTTCTTCTTTTTTTGGATGGCGAGATTGCCTTGACATCAACTTCAACAACCCTCTTTTATGAAAGACTCTCTCCAGATTAGGTAGCATTGTTTTGTGGGATAGTGGTTGCATCGAACGTTTGGTGGCTATTAAGCATGTTCATATATGACAGAGGTTGTTGAGTCATATATGGGAAATTATTGTCATAAGGAGAGTAAGATGGATACGGAGGGGGAGGAGCAGAGTAGGGTGCACGAGGGAATGACATGAAGCTCATGTTCAAGTTTGAATGAGGAACTCTAGGGGTTTTAGGAGAGGGAGTAGCATCACAATCATCATTTCTATCACCAAATTCAGCCATACTTTGAAGGATGAAGCTCGTGTTACAACAAAGTTCACATAATGAAAATATGAAGAATAAAGCTCATGTTAGACCAAAGACACATAATGCAAAGAGAAAATCAACACAACAATTGTCAAACTTAATAAATACAACAAGTCCCAACATTAAACTTTAGAAATACAACAAAGTTTACATAATGAAAATATGAAGAACAAAGCTCATGTTAGACCAAAGACACATAATGCAAAGAGAAAATCAATACAACAATTGTTAAACTTAATAAATACAACAAGTCCTGACATCAAACTTAAGAAATACAACAAAGTTTACATAATGAAAATATGAATAACAAAGCTCATGTTAGACCAAAGATACATAATGCAAAGAGAAAAACAAATCACCATTGTCAAACTTAATAAATACAACAAGTCCCGACATCAACTTTAAGAAATACAACAATACTAGAAATACTAATATGTCAATTACAAGCCAATTTCGGTTGTGTCCCCACCATGATACTTGTTACAATAATCTACCCACACAGCACTTGCAATGTCGTCCCTCTTCTCTTTCCATTCATTCATTGAATCTCTTTCTTCTCTTTGAGTTACATTTTGAGAAAAGTTGGCAACATTATCATCTTCACCCTTAGTAGCTATTCCTCCATCATCATCGTCAATAGTAATATCCTCATTCAATAAGTCATCGCCCGGATCAACTATAGCAATGTAGTTATGAAGTATAGCACAAGCCAATACTATATCAACTTGGGTTGGAAAAGGATAATGTGGCTTTACAGTGAGGATTTTGAAACGATTCTTCAACACTCCAAAAGTTGATTCAATTTTAGACCTTAGCGATGAATGTCTTAAATTGAATAACTCTCTTCTGTTATTTATTAGACTATCTCTATGCTCATTTAAATGGTAACATACACCACGATAAGGTGAGATGAAGCCAGACATGATGGTGTACCCCGCATCACACAAATAATATTTGCTTACAATTATAAACAACACATTATAGTAAATAATTAATTTTTGTAAATTATAAATGAATATTCATTTTAGTGAATAATGAGTAATTACCATCGTAGACTCTCAATCCATGAGGTTGAGGTCTTAAAAGTGCATCTTGTAGTACTCTATAATCATTTGCGGACCCCTTCTAACCAGTTAGAACGTATGAAAATAACTTACTTGGGGTGCATGCGGCTAGAACATTTTGAGTCACACCTTTACGACCTCTAAAGCGGGCCACAAGTCTAGCAGGAAGAAAAACGTCAATGTAGGTCCCATCTATCATGCCAATGCAATCCTATATAACGTATGAAATTTACTATTATTTCATAGGATAACAAATTCACTTGTTCAGATCATGTTATGTTTATGAGTGAATTACCTTGAAATAAGGATAGTACAAATGATTGCTTACAATCTTTGGCGCCAATTCCTTTGGTACTTTTGCTTCAAGAACCGACCCCTTATACGACCAACTGCTTCTAAGCATTTGTTAAAATATCTAGAAATTGTTTCTTCTGATCTTATAATTTGTGATCTTACTATTCTATTTTTTGTTTTATGTCCTAATATATTAAGAAACATGATTAGTTGCTCTTCAACTTTAACATCACGTGAATCTTGTAGTCGGCCCGTCACTCTCATTATTCTAACAAGATTTTGAAATGTATACGACCTCATTCTAACATAATCTCTACAGTTGTGACTATAGCCAGCAAATACACGGCATATGTGGGCATTCCTAGACTCTATCTTCTGTTTTTTCCCCTCCCTATGGTGATAGGTGATAGATTTTCTTCTAGAATGTATTCTCATTATACATGTCAACACAGTCACGATGGCGGACATAGTAGCATTACTCGATATCCTCATTAACGCTTCGTCGTCAATATCCTCCATCAACAATGAGTGCAAAATATATTCTTATACATAGACAAATGCTTAGATTCGAATTTTCATTTCTAAAACCTTTAACTGATATTAAGTTTAGTAAACTTATATAACTACAACAATATTTCTTATTATCAACCATGATATCATATTGTACATGAAATCATAGTGTTCCAATATTTTGAGCTAGCCGCCTACATATATACAGAAGACATCAACAAGTAAAGATACACATCTAAAAAGGTAAATATAGAAAACAAAAATTAAAGATGGTTTGACCATATCCAAAAATAGGATTCAACTATTAAAAATCAAGCGTAGTTAATAAGACTGCAGTTTGATTCATTCAATCATACAGTTTGCTAAACAATAAAGATGGTCAACAACCTAAAATTATGGATGTCATCCTAAAGCTTTTCTCAAAATAATTCAGATATTTTCTAACGTCAACATCGACAACATCAACAACATCAACATACAGAAGCACCAACGTGACAACATAATACATATATTTTCTCAAAATAATACAAGATATGTGCTTTCATTTAATCATACATATACACCAACTGTATTAATAAACTTTCTAATTTCTTATTAAAGAGCTTATCAAATTGTAATTAAATAAAATCAGGTAAAATCAGTTTATTATATCAGAACAAATAGTGACAATTAAAAAAAATTAGGGGAAGCTTGTACCCTAAAAGAGTTAGAGACTTAAAACAATATTTTAAGCTAGAGTCAGAAAACTATCTTTTAAGCTAACAATTAACAAATAAGAAGCCTACATTTGTAAATAAGGAATAAATACCAAGTTAATAAAGTATAGAAGAGAGAAAAGTGTGCATCGAAGGAAGGTCTCTCTTTTTTATCTTTGCTTTGTCAATACTAAATTTAACGACAAAGACTAGGATTGGTAGAAGGAAGGTCTCTCTTTTTTATCTTTGCTTTGTCAATACTAAATTTAACGACAAAGACTAGGATTGGTATAGAAGAGAAGGTAAGTTTAGAATGTTGCTTTGTCAATACTAAATTTAACGACAAAGACTAGGATTGGTATAGAAGAGAAGGTAAGTTTAGAATGAGAATAAAGATGATTATGCTTTGCCGCACTCCACACTAATTCTATTTATTTATTTTTACTCATTGTAATTTCATTTTCATCTATCCACAAAATTTAGATTTAAACTACATAATTTTGCCATAAATTATAAAAACAGCTAAAAAGCAGATAAATCAAGTTTACCCTAATTTGATGTATATTTAAAAAATCAGATAAAATTTACCCTAAAATTTGCCATAATTTTACTCAATTTTTCCGACAATTACAAAACTCAGTTTTCCTAAACTTGCCCACAATTAAGTAAATAGTGTCAATTTTAAAAAATCATATAAATTAAAAAAAATTAAAAAAATTAAGTGAAGCTTGTACCTTATCTTCGTTGTGGAGTAGACCCCGATGATCAAAGGTGAAAATTGAACCCCTAACCCAGAGATCAAGCCGTCATATCTAAAGTTCAGATTAAAGAGGAGTGCCGACTACACCCGTATCAGAGATGGTCGCCTCCATTAATGATGGCGACATGCACTGTGAAAACCCCCAACTTCAGAAAATCAAAGACTAGTAAAACCCAAAAATTAGAAAATTCCTTTTGAAATCAAGAGCTAGGCTTCATCGAGGAGATAATCAAGGTTTTAATCGACCATACTAGATCGATTTGCGACAGATTGTAGCAGATATTTGCCTTGATTTTTTCGATAAAGCGGCGCGAAACAGAGGAGGGAATGGTAGAAGAAGAGGGAACGAGAAGATGAGGCGGTGAGGGTAATGGGGGTACGGGCTCTGACTATATCACATGAATAGAAAAGGAAAGACGGGTGAAGTTGAGGTGGCAAGCCTCTATCAAATTTCCAACCCATTTCCACTCCGAAAGATAAGAAATAGTCTGTCCAAAAAAATTATTGTTAGCTCTGTTTTTAGCAAACCTTTTCTTAAAAAAAGCTGAAACAAACACGGTTATTGGAATCCTATAACCTTCCAAAACCTACTTTTTGTTCCAAAACTAAGGGTTTCCTAATATCAGAGCCTAACCAAACAGCCCCTTAGTCGCTCACTTGTATATTAGTCCCTCAAATCATATATTGTAACACCCCCACTTTAGTCCCACATGGATAAGTATGAACAAATGTTAGTGGCTTAAATAGAGAAGCCCAAAGTCCAAATATAACTAATGCTAGCATTTTGGCAGTGGACTTTAGCCAACATCGAGTTGCTCTTGGTGGATCCTACGACTTGCACGCTCCAACGAGCCCATGGGCCCGAGACGTGACAAAATGATATCATAGCAGTTGCCAGCCAAAAGTGTGGAGCTAAATGCTATACTGGGCTAAGTGTTACATCGCGTGAATGCGGTAAGAGCCGCCTCTAGAGCCCGTAAGAGCCACCTCTAAAGTCCACATTGCCTGGCAGTGATACCGGGATGTGGTGATTATAACACCCCCACTTTAGTCCCACATAGACTAGTGTGAAGAAATGTTAGTAGCTTAAATAGAGAAGTCCAATGTCCAAGAATAATTAGTGCTATTTTGGTAGTGGGCTTTAGCCAACATCGAGTTGCTCTTTGTGGGTCCCACGGCTTGCACGCGCCAACGGGCCCATGGACCCGGGGCGTGACATATATAGTTTGGTAAATTTGTCCCTTTGGTGCACTAACGTTAGATTTGAAGGGAATATTCCCTCAAATGTAATGGTTGAAAACAAAATGACATTAATGCCCTTCTGTTAAGTTCATAAATCTACTTTTTTAACAAACTTTAAAATCCATACATGCTCCTAAAAAACCAAATCCACATAGTTTTTCTTCTCTAAGGGTAAGGGTGTCCATTCGGGCGTAAGGCCCAGGCCTGGGTTGTCATAACCCTAATTTTCGAACCTAAAAAGAATATTAGAGCCGGACTAAACCTGTGAAAAGTCCTCCCAAAATATGCATTCATTAAAAGACCATCAAAATAATCTCTTCATTGAACTAAAACCAATAATAAATATTCTCTATAATCCCTAAAGTCAACATTAATCCAATTAACTTGATATAAACAAATATTCCTCAACTTGAAATAAAACTCGACCTAAAGGAAAGAATCTTGTTATTACAAAACTCTCAATTTATCAACTAAACATCAAAGACTTTATTTAACATTAATCTAGAAGACAATAACAATTTCAAATTTTATTCCTTGCTTTGTTTTAAGAATTTGAAAAATCATTAATTCCACATAATCCCGAGTCTCTGAAAAGAATGAAAACAACACAATGAGTTCATAACTCAATAAGTGGATAAATTCATACATTGAATACTGGTTTTGCAAAAATTCGAATATTTTGACAACATAAGCAAAATATAAGAATGATAGAGAATATCAATGAACTCTAGTACTGATGCAAATATTTAAGAAAACTTAAAAATCATGAAATGAAAATAAGCAGACTACGTCTCAATGAGGTCAACACTTTATACTCCGATTGACTCGGTAAATCCCAAAATTATTAAGCTCATGGTTCCGGGATGGTAAGACCCAAATTTGGGCTCTTAGTGTAGGCGTATAAAACTGCCTATAGGTCCCTTAACACAGCTCGACATCGCCGATTCGACGAACCGACCATCGGGCGACGTATGCAGACACGATTGTTAGTCCACAACGCCGAAGCCAAGTGATACGCGACGAAGCGCATTAACGAGGCTATGAAGCTAATGAACCGCACGCAAACAACGGAATAAATCCACTCGCGTGCGGAATCAAGCTAACGGTTTGAAGAGTCAACGAGTCATCCAACCAAGAGCGGACTCGGATGAATCACGACCACATCAAGATCGGTTTCAGACTCGAACTCAGAAGCGGATTTACTGCCAAAACAGGAATCGGATTTACTGCCTAATCAGGAATCGGATCTACTGCCAAATCAGATCAACAAATCAGAGTCTGAATCAACCGCGAGACCGGACAAAACAACGAAACCCAACGCCTAGGGGGGGCTCGGCCCAGTGCGGGCCACCCATGGGTGGCCGACCCAGATCTGTGCGCAGGCACAGATCTGAGAGCCTATAAATAGGAGGGCCTTGGTTCATTTTCAAGTTTGGATTTTTTGGAGGCGAAGCCCTGCTGGATTGAAGACTCAGATCTAAAAAAGATTCAAACTTTAGGACTTCGAGAACTTGCTCATCCAGATCTGTTTGGGACTTTGAAGACTTGCTCATCCAGATCCGGTGCTCGGCGATCGTCAACGTCAAATAAGGCAAGAGTTCGAGAGGACCGGATCTCAGATCTACGCAGGCATACTCCATATCAAAGCTTGGCCTTTGATCCCGAGAATTAAAGGCTACTATTTCCTTGGCGAAATAGTACCCTCGGCTATTATTTCCTTGGTGAAATAATACCCGTCGTACTGTGTAGATCCGACCGGATCTAGATCGCACGGTGGTCCACGGATAAACCCCGGCGCAGGCGAAGAACCCACAAAGCGAGTGACCGCAAAACAGGAGCTCGCGATTTGTTCGACAAACAATGATAAAAAGTTGTAATTTTTCTTTATTTTTCTTTGATTTT